AGAATTTCACAAATACTTCCACTCATTCTCCCAGCTCACATTGCAAAATAGTTTTTTAATAGTTACTGAATTTTCTTTTATTAATCTTTATTAAATTTATTGGGATGACATTGGTTAGTAAAATTATATAGGTTTCAAGTGTACATTTCTATAATACATCATCTATATATTACATTCTGTGTTCACTACCTAGAATCAGTTTTCAGCAACTTTTTACCCACTGAAAATTTAACTTGTCTTTTTTCTATGTCATAGCCTCTTAGATCAATAGATGGGCCCCTCCATTATCATGGTGACTAGACATTGTAAAGTCTTAAAGGTAACACAAAGAATTTTTTGGTGGCCATTGGACAAACCTAGTGAAATTTAAGATTTGCCGAGTCTTCTGTTACTTGCCCTCAATTTCATAGCTAAAAGACATATATTCAAAATAAAAAAAAAAAGAAATTCAGACAAATCTGATAATTCAAAGAATACTTGAAGAACAAAATTTTAGAAGTATTCCTGTTTAATATATGCACTTGTATTTGTAGCTAAAGTTAACATATAAACCTATTTGTTTTTCTTAATAACCATCCTTGCTTTCCAAATATCTTTATACTTTTAAAAGACAGGCCTTTTTTTTAACTAAATAATGACATATTCCTATTTTGATTCAGTATTTGCGACCAGCTCTTCTTAAAATAAATGAACTGTGTTATCAATTGAGTTTTATGGGACTTTGTAATATTGAAAAAGGTCACACCTACACCCTGCAAGAGTTTATGGCTATACAAGTCATACGGCTGAAAGAGGTAAGGAATTTTGTCTGTGAGTTTCAAGATTTTTTTTCCTATTATTGCTACTTTGGTATCACTAATTATACATATCATCAATGTCTAGGTGACTGAGCTCCTGGAAGAATTTCGAAATGAGGCGAAAGATGTGGTCGGGAAGGCTTGCTGCGTTTCTCTGAGTGCTGCAGGATTTACTCCTGATGACAGGGCATATAAGGGTAGGAAGGGGGAAAAAACTTTGATAGAACAGAAGTGGTGGCTTTCTAATTAATTCTTTTCTATTTTACTTTTTTTAAGTTTAAATGGTTACCTTATTTTTCAATTCTTCCAAACTTGCTTGATAGGTTATAAATTCAATGCACAAATATATTATAGAGGGGGAGAAATAGTAAATGGTGCATTTTGCTTGCATGACCCCTGCTTCTGTATAGTATTTTTAAACTGTGTACAGGACTTTTATTTTAAACTGTGTACAGGACAAGCATTTTATAGTGGACTCAGAGCCTCTGTGCCTAATGATATGTCCAACCTACTAGTACAAACAATAGGTTTGTTAAAATAAAGGGACTGTGTGAAGCTCAGGATTGGCCCCAGCTGGCATGGACTCTAAAGGATGACTAAAATGAAGGTGGAAAAGGTGGGTAAAGGTGTTTCTGGGAAAAGGTGGCATGGTACACAGATCAAACCCTGTTAAAAACAATGTTAATAAACTGTGTAACTGTCTTTTGTTGAGTTGAAATCCTTTGATGTGAAATTCTTTTGGTTAACTGGACTGTTTTCTGGAGTTTGAAATATCTCATGAACCAAAGTATTGTGTTGTTTTTTTTCAATTTTATTTGTCTCTTAATCCATATTGGGGGGAAAAATGGAATTTTTACACAAGAATTCTTGTTGTGTCTTCTGCTGTTCTTAGATTATGGTAAAATGCCAGACAGTGGAAGTCTCCTTGAGATGGCTGCTTATATAGANTGCTTTTGAGAATCTTTCTTTGTCTTTTACCTTTGGCATTTTAATTATTATGTGTCTTGGTGTGGGCCTATTTGAGTTCATCTTGCTTGGGACTCTCTGTGCTCCCTTGGCTTATATGTCTATTTCTTTCTTCAGGTTAGGGAAGTTTTCTGTCATTATTTATTCAAACAGGTTTTCAATTTCTTGCTCTCTCTCTTCTCCTTCTGGTACCCCTATGATGCAAATGTTGGTATGCTTGATGTTGTCCCAGAAGCCCCTTAAGCTCTCCTCATTTTTTTTAATTGGTTTTTCTTTTTGCTGTTCTGTTTCAGTGTTTTCTGCTACCTTACTTTCTAAATCACTAATTTGATCCTCTGCTTCATTTAATCTACTGTTGACTTCCTCTAATGTATTCTTCATTTCAGTTATAATAGTCTTTATTTCTGACTGGTTCTTTTTGAGGTTATTTTATCTTCATTTTTATGTTTCCTACTTCTTTGTTGAAGTTCTCTCTGATACTGAGCATCCTTTTAACTAGTGTTTTGAACTCTGTGTCTGGTAGTTTGCTTGTCTCCCCATTTTGTTTAGTTCTTTTACTGGAGCTTTGTTCTTTTCTTTTATTTGGGAAATGTTTCTTTGTCTCCCCATTTTGGCTGCTTCCCTGTGTTCGTTTCTACATGATATGTAAGGCTGCTATGTCTTTCAGTTTTAGTAGAATGGCTTTATGTAGTAGGTGTCCTAAACATGCAGCTCTTCTGCACTTACCCTCCAAAGTCTAATGTTTCCCCATAAGCTTACTGACTCAGTCACCAGATCCCAGATGAATAACATTGATTTTACATCTCTGAAGTATTGACACTAATTTCAATGCAACTGGCAAAAACTCTATTTCATTGAGTTTCAACAGCAACAACAAAGAAAAGTTCATATAATAAAGAAGTTTAAGGGGTGAATACCTTTATGCATGTCTGATTACAGAAGTTCAAATTATATCTTGTCATCTTTATTTTTTCCTCTTTTCATCTTCCAGTTCTATATATCTGTGTCTGATCCATTCTTTATTGGGCTCTTAGAATGAGCACCACCTACAGCTATAGTTACTGCTGGCTCTTTTAGTGAAAAGAGTCTATCTCTTGCTGGAGATGCTGGAGAGAACACTTATTGTCTCAGCTTGGCCACATGCCCAATCTTGAACCAATCACTGCACAGCTAGGAGTACTTTAATAAGCCAGGCCTGGATATGTG